CCCGACCGCCGCGGAGCCGAGCGCTCGGAACCGGCTGGCCGCGCCGGGCCGTCCGCCGGCGCCTCTCCTGCCGCGATCCCCGCTGCACACCTGCCATCGCTCGCGTCCTCCGCCTCGCCCGTGCCCCCCGCCTTCTCACCGGCCGGGGGGACTCAGTCCCAGCCCGAGGAGCAGAGAGCGGAGGCGTCGGGGTCGGAGGCCACGATGACCCCTCGGGTGCTAGCCACGAATCCTCAGGGCGAGAACGCTGGAGAGCCGGCCCACCGTCCGGGTGCGTCCTCGGGGTGCCCTGCTCCTCCCGTCGCCCTCTGCTTTGTGTCCCCCGCTGGGTGGATAAATAACCAGCCGGGCGACGCTGACTGTGAGCCGCTGATGGGTGGGTAGCCATGGCCCACCCGCGGCCATGGCAGCTGCTTAGGAATGGGCGCTGGGGTAAGAGGACCCCCTGAACGCCAAAGCTGGCCCTTGTGATGTCTGCAGCCCATCGCAGACCCCGAACCCAGCTACCTTGTACGCTCGTCGTTTTCCTGAAACTCAGAAACCAATTTCTGATGAGTTCTTCGGGGATGCTGAGACATGAGAAGCCACCAGCACATCCCTGATGTGAAGCACCAAATTGGCCCAAACGTGTGTCCTAAGAGACATGGCAGCTACTGGCTTCTTACAGACGCACCCCGCCTGATGCGCCGGAGGGCGCGCACTCTAAGGACCGCAGCAGGCGTTAGACACCAGGAAGACTCTTATCCTAGCCCTAGATTGGACACCAGAAAGCCGTGGGAGCGAGACACTGGCTGCTGCTCTCGGAACAGACACAGGAATTAGCAGCGGACAACACAGAGTTCCTCTCCGATCAGCCCGCAGAGCTCAGATGAGGGAGACAATAGTCGACACGGCCCCTTACCCACATGCAGTTCATCTGGGTGGGACCTGGCTTTTAAACTGTACCACAGGTGATTCTGAAGTTCTAGTTTAGAATCACAGAGACCTGGTTCATTTGTGTTTCTCACAGCCTTCTGCAGTGGACCCCAAAAATTTGAAGTGGGTTAGAGGAAGAAAAGGGCAAGGGAACGCATTAAAGATGACCAAAGAATTATGAACCTATTTGAAGCTCAAAAACCCAGAAATTAAGTTGGTCTGAGGGAATGGCGGACAGTTGAGTTTGGCCTTATTCAGAGGGTCAGTAGGGCCAGGCATGGTGGCACACACCTGTAATCCCAGCATTTGAGAGGCTGAGGCAGGAAGATTGCCACAAGTTTGAGGCAGCCTGGGCTACATAATGAACTCAAGGCCAAGGCCAGCCTGAACTGCACAGCAAGATCCAGTCTCAGAAAAAAAAGGTCTGTGGGACATTTGTCAACATCTTCATTCATTGAGCAAACCTTTTCTGAATCAGAAAAATGATAAAGACAACTTGAAGTGTATATATATATATATATATATATATATATATATAAAATGTGTTCTCTGAATAATTGACCTTTTGGATCTCATTGCTGAGACAAAATACCCAATGCTCAAAACTAAAGGAGGAAAAGTTTATTTAGCTCACAGTGTACTGGTTTCCCAGTTGGCTGGCTCGAAGGCTGGGTGGCACCACCAAGAGGCACTGCAGGAAACAGTCCATGGTATGGTGGGGCACACAGAGTACAGCTAGCCACACAGTAGCTGCAGCAAGCCGGTCTTCTTTCTGTCCCTTTACACTCCATCCAGGCTACCCACCTTTTGGGTGGTGCCACTCAGAACTATACTAAACCAATTGATGGACTAAACCACATAGCCTTAATCCCAGAATCACACCACTAATCCACATTCACACACCGTAGACCTGGCCACCTCTGAAAAGCACATGAGGCTTTGGGGGCACATCTAGATACAAGCTGTAACCACAGGCTTAGTAGTGTGGACCCAGGTGTCAGTTGGGAAGGCATTAAAGTATAAGTACATTTCAAAGAGTTGGAAGCGTCAAGCATAAATAATTCTCTCAAAAAGTTCTGCAGCAAAGGAATGAAAGAGGAAAGCTTTAAGAGAACAGGCGAGCTGCCTTTGTTTTGTTTTGTTACACTGTAAAATGGAGAGCTGTCCAGACAATACCTCTGTCTACATATTTAAGCCTATAAAATAAAAATTCATTTTTCTATGACCAAATTAACTTTCTCACCCACCCAAGTCCTTATTCTACCCATTGTTAAGAGATTTGAATTTACTTAAAGCAGGGTAAGCCCCTCAGGTCCAGTTTTTCTCAAATAATTCAGTCTTCCTCTCCACTATTCCTTGGTACTGCACCCATGTTTGGAGGAGAGGGTTGGGTAGCACGGGGATATTCGGGGGCAGCAGGCACCAAATTCCTCCCCGAGGTGGACCTCCTTTGTCTGGACAGTGGAGCCCATCCAGTTTTCAGTCATGAGCTGTGACTTTTTTCCTTGACTCTTCCGTTGCCCCTAAGAGGAGATTTTTGACTGTTGGCCCATTCCATTTTGAGAAGACAGGGAAATCTATGGAACAGGCTTGAGTATTTTCTGTCTCACAGGCCACACTGCCATTTCTTCTCATTCTCGTGCTCTGTGGTTAGGGGACTCTGCGTGGTGTGAGATGTGACAAGCTCTGTCCTCTTTCCTTGCTCCTGGAAATAGAATTTTCTAAGAAGGGGTAGAGGCTGATTTCAGCTTCATGTAACAGTGACAGTGGCTTGAGCAGTGAGATTTTATTATCTCATATGACAAGGACGCAAAGATGAGTAACCCCATGATTGGTTCAATATCTCAACAACACCACCAAAGACTCAGGTTATGCCCACCTTGTGACTCTATCTTCAGCTGTCATCAGCACTTCATACTCTCTCTTCATGATCACAAAGAGGCTGCTGAAGCACAGGACCTCCTATTTTCACATCACAACATTCTGAAAGCAGGTTGGGGGTGGAGATGAGACTATCCCTTCTCACTTTTCTTTTATCAAAGGAGAGAATCTATAAAAGCCCTCGGTGACAATCTGTATAATTCTAGCTGCAATGGAAACAAGGGTCTGTTATTTCTAGCTTCATGAGGCAGATTCTGCCAGTCCTGAGGAAGAGGGAAGGGAAGGGTTGTTCTTAACCCCGTTGGAATCCATCACTGTCTCCTCACACTCTCAGCAGGATCTCAACCACTGAGCTCCTTTCCGACTAAGGCAATCCCTGTGTGGCTAAGGAAACCCCTTTCCTAAGGGGTTGGAAAATAGATTCCTGCCTGAAACCTCCCGCATTCTCCCAAAACTATGCAGGTTTTTCTTGGACCTCAGCTTTTGAGATCCCAAGATTTTGGCTTTTTTCTTTCTTTATACAACCTAAGGTTAGAAAGGCCAGGTTACAGACAGGAGACCTACCTGGTATATGAACGGCTGTGCCAAGAATGAAAGATACGCAAGTCAATGTCAAGTCTAGCTCATTCACAAAGGAAACAGAAAGAAGCATTGGAGAGGAGGGATCCAACAACAGAGCGAGGCAGGAAGAGGTGTTGGATAAGAGTGGTGAGTGTGGCTGGCACAGGCAGAAGTTTCACCTTGGAGAGCAATTGTTGCTTCCAGTCCCAGAAACAGAAGCTGAAGACCAGAGAGTGATACCAAGGGACACTGCGGCCGGCAGCGGGAGGCTGGGCAAGCTCAGCTGTGCCGTGTGGTCTCAGGGTTTCTACACTGCAGTTGCCAGGAAAGGAAGGGGAGGGGTGCCTGAGAATTCAGGAGAGAGGCAAAGGGTTGAAGCTGCCTCTGTTAGAAAAGGGGATTGAAAGGGATATAAATAGGGGGAACAAACTTCCAGCCCACGCGGAGGAACTTTCTGGAGTTAGAGGATAGGAGCAGAGCAGGCAAAGGAGCCACCTGGGAGCAGGAAATGGGAGCAGATAGGACTTGACTTCTAGGCCTGCGTCCCCACAATAGACAGCCCCTGGGCTGCGGGAGTTGGGGAATGAGTGATGCCACAGAGGGAAGGAGGGACAGGAAGAGGGCACATGGACAGAAGACCTGGAGGAGAACAAGTGGGCAGCCGGGGTCCCGTGGCCTGGGAGAACATTCACTCTGGCGGGCGATTGTGTCTGAGGCGCGGAGCAGAGAGAGCAAAGGGCTGAGTGCTGTATTTGAATTGTGCTCACAAGGATAACTGGAGCATCGCAAGGATCTTCTGACTTCTTATTTGCCAACATCCACGTAGTTGAGTTCACTTCCAGAACAGGCAGGACAAATGTCGCATATGCACTGCACACAGCGACCACGTGGTCTCTCTGCCCCTTGGCCTGAGGCCACACCCTGTTGACTCTGGGGACCTTCTGGCTACAAACAACAAATGACAGCGAGGGAGAAGAGGGGCTGCAGCCACTGTCTGCGACCCTGGAGGGCTATCTTGGTTAAAATAGCGGCTGCTCATTGCTTTGTTCCAGCAGGTGAAAATAAAGAGGCTAATGTGACTGTGATGTATGATGCCTGTGACCTACTGAGAATGTTAAGGGTTACCAGAAAAGAGGAGTTGTGTTCATTGTTGTAGAACTCACCCTTGCGTCACATCACGTGTCTGCACCCTTTGCCGCGGTGTCTGTGCCTTTGTCTTAAGTCTCTGAGCTCAAACACATCTGCGGGTTCAAATAGGACACACGGGTGGCAAAACACAGACGCAGTCAATAGCAGTATGTTCTAGGTTAGCCCTTGTGGAGTCACACGGGGAGTGCGCAGAAGGAGGGTAGGACCAGATAGGTGGAATTCTTGTCTAGGGCATGTTAGGCCGGCCCTGGGTCTGGTGCTAGAGCTGTAAGTCTCCTGCCACTGTCCAGACACGCGAGGGCAGAAAAGAATGCAAAGGATCTCTAAGGTGGGAATGTAGATGAGGAAAGTGTAGGGGGCTCATCTCAGGGAACAGAAAGAAACCAGCAAGACAAATTGATCAGAATGATGGCCCTGTTGTCTGTGAGCATGGCATTTTTTTCCCTTAATAGTCCCTAAGCCTTTTTTTTTTTTGAGGCAGGATCTCTCTGTGTAGTTCAGGCTGGCTTTGCACTCACTATGTAGCACAAACTGGCCTTGAGCTCACAGTGATCCTCCTGCCTCTCAGCCTCTGGGGTGCTGGGGTTAGATGTGTGCACCACCACGCCCGGCTCCTAAGCTTATTTTTCAGTCACTGTTTAGCGGCCATTCAAAAATTAACCTAAAGATGTATGATCACTTCATTTTTAAAATACTTCATTTTAAAATTCACTGTTAT